AAAGTAGAAAGCTATAATCTTAATATTTGTTTATCTGTTTTTGCTGCTTCCATGAGATACTTTTGCACCAGCTCAACACTGCGCAGGAGAATTGTGTCACACTAAATGTTCTGCAGCTCATTAAACAAAAAAAGTTTTATTTTTTTACCTGGAGGGTTGTTTTAGACAGTCTAAACACAATTCAGGTTTAGTTGGGCAATGAGAGGCCAGCGTTTGTTATATACAGGCACAGTGGGGCCTTCTTTGGGCCAGGGTCTTTGTGAATCTGGGTCAGCTCTGAAATGCTTTTTCCTTCACAGCAATCTCTTCCTCCATCAAACCTTTATTTGTATAGTGTTCCTTTTAATGTAATTTAAATAATAAAAATTTAGAAGCCTTTCACCCTTCTCCTCTAATCTGTTAATGTCGGTACTAAAGTTGGTTTGTTTCTCAGATCCATTCTGTGCAGAATAAACTTGTCTATATTCTTTTGAAACTTTGACACAGACCAGGAGGCTGTCATAAAACAAACCAACTGGTCCCGCTGTGTCTGAGGCCGGAGCGCTGACTTTTTTCTCCATGCATGTGTTCCCTGAGGGAGGGAGAGCGAGCAAGACCAGACTCATGCACGCGCAAAGAGAAGAAAAAACCAAGATATAGTCAGACAGGAAATGACCTCTCAGAGCGAAGGGCTTCCCCTTGGGTTGTATTTATTTCTGTCTTTCAGAGTCTCATCTCTATAAAATAATATGCATCAATAGATATGCATGAGAATGAGAAAGACCAGAGAATGTGTTCATCGCGTGCTGGGAATGCAAAGAGCTGCAAAAGTCATGCAATACCTCAGCTCTGCAAGCCTTTGCATCACTTATAAATCAAGTGTGGTTAAGAAAATACAGATGTGACTGTGTTCTTGCGAACAAGCGTGTATATAAATGTTTGTTATGGGAGAGGGTGCATGAAGTAAGCAGAGCGAGCAAAGAGTTTGCAGATAACAGAAGTACATTTTGGAAAGTCGATTAATTGTGTTACCTTCCCACTTTTCGGCACTTTTTTTGTGATTAAAAAGCATCTTACTGTAAAAGTATGCAGGAGTCCAGCAGTCATGTACAATAGTATACCAACCAGGGTGTTCGTTTTGATTTTGAGATCCTACGTGGTTGACTGGAGGTTTTATTTCAAATGATGAGCGTGCAGTTCTAACTGTCAAAAACGCTTTTGGTGACGCAGCAAGGCTTGTAGCTGTTGCCTCACAGTAAGAGATCAGCTGCAACCTGACGTATTTCTCATGTTGTAGACAGGTTTTCTTTTCTGTTTATCTCCCATGCACTAAAAGCATGCAGGTTAAAATAATTTAACTTTTCTATCTCATTCCTCTGTGTGTGTGTCTTGTGATGGACTACATGTCATGTAGCTCACCTTTCTCCCCAGCTGCTGCTGGAGGCAGCCACCACCTGAACCTTGTGGCCCTGAACACCAACAAGCAGGTAAATCAAAAAAGAATAATGGAAAAAGACCAGTTTCATATATTTGTTCATGTGTTCATCTCTGACATGAAAAAAGTTAGTGTTAGTCATTGCATAATATATAATGTCAAATCACATTGTGCTTTATGTCATGTTGTACAGGTCCTTCTAAAAAAATTAGCATATTGTGATAAAGGTCATTATTTTCCATAATGTAATGATAAAAATGAAACTTTCATATATTTCAGATTCATTGCACACCAACTGAAATATTTCAGGTCTTTAATTGTTTTAATACTGATGATTGTGGCATACAGCTCATGAAAACCCAAAATGCCTGTCCCAAAAAATTAGCATATCATGAAAAGGTTCTCTAAACAAGCTATTAACCTAACCATCTGAATCAACGACGTAACTCTAAACACCTGCAAAAGATTCCTGAGGCTTTTAAAAACTCCCAGCTTTGTTCATTACTCAAAACTGCAATCATGGGTAAGACTGCCGACCTGACTGCTGTCCAGAAGGCCATCATTGACACCCTCAAGCAAGAGGGTAAGACACAGAAAGAAATTGCTGAACGAATAGGCTGTTCCCAGAGTGCTGTATCAAGGCACCTCAGTGGGAAGTCTGTGGGAAGGGAAAAGTGTGGCAGAAAACGCTGCACAACGAGAAGAGGTGACCGGACCCTGAGGAGGATTGTGGAGAAGGGCCGATTCCAGACCTTGGGGGACCTGCAGAAGCAGTGGACTGAGTCTGGAGTAGAAACATCCAGAGCCACCGTGCACAGGCGTGTGGAGGAAATGGGCTACAGGTGCCACATTCCCCAGGACAAGCCACTTTTAAATCAGAAACAGCGGCAGAAGCGCCTGACCTGGGCTACAGAGAAGCAGCACTGGACTGTTGCTCAGTGGTCCAAAGTACTTTTTTCGGATGAAAGCAAATTTTGCATGTCATTCGGAAATCAAGGTGCCAGAGTCTGGAGGAAGACTGGGGAGAAGGAAATGCCAAAATGCCAGAAGTCCAGAGTGAAGCGCCCACAGTCTGTGATGGTCTGGGGTGCCATGTCAGCTGCTGGTGTTGGTCCACTGTGTTTTATCAAGTGCAGGGTCAATGCAGCTAGCTATCAGGAGATTTTGGAGCACTTCATGCTTCCATCTGCTGAAAAGCTTTATGGAGATGAAGATTTCATTTTTCAGCACGACCTGGCACCTGCTCACAGTGCCAAAACCACTGGTAAATGGTTTACTGACCATGGTATTACTGTGCTCAATTGGCCTGCCAACTCTCCTGACCTGAACCCCATAGAGAACCTGTGGGATATTGTGAAGAGAAAGTTGAGAGACACAAGACCCAACACTCTGGATGAGCTTAAGGCCGCTATCGAAGCATCCTGGGCCTCCATAACACCTCAGCAGTGCCACAGGCTGATTGCCTCCATGCCACGCCGCACTGAAGCAGTCGTTCATGCAAAAGGATTCCCGACCAAGTATTGAGTGCATAACTGAACATGATTATTTGAAGGTTGGCGTTTTTTTGTATTAAAAACACTTGTCTTTCATTGGTGGGATGAAATATGCTAATTTTTTGGGACAGGCATTTTGGGTTTTCATGAGCTGTATGCCATAATCATGAGTATTAAAACAATTAAAGACCTGAAATATTTCAGTTGGTGTGCAATGAATCTGAAATATATGAAAGTTTCATTTTTATCATTACATTATGGAAAATAATGACCTTTATCACAATATGCTAATTTTTTGAGAAGGACCTGTATATTACAGCATATTGTATCAAATTTGATCATATTATGTCACCTAAAATATGTCTGATATGTCATATCACATGTAACAAATTATGCAATACATGTTTTACATTATTACTATATTATATTAATTACATTATATTATATTAAGTGAGGGGAGTGGTGGTACAAAGGTTAAAGATGAGTCTGTGATCGGAAGATCCAGATCAACTCCCCGAATTGACAAAAGGTGAAGCACTAACCCTCATTTGCCCCACTCTGTGCCCTTGAGCAAGGCCCTTAATCCCCACCATTTACCTCCCCGGGCACCCATATGGCAGCTCTTTGCTCCACACAGAGGGCTGTGGTAGCTTGATGGTCTGTGGTTGTTTCAGGAGGGGCATCTGGCATAAAAACAATTACCAAGTCTTCATGTGAGTTGGCAGAACATCCATAGTATTTTCAGTGATATTGCCTTTAAACTTCTCCAGAATAACTCATGTGTACACTAAATATTTGTAAGCCCCACCCATTTATGTTTAGGCTCCAACTCTGAGATTGTTATTTCAGTTTTGTTCATCTCTCACTTTTTTACATGAAGTTTTCATCTGTAAATGTGAACCAGCTGTACTTCCTGTAACAAAAAGGCAAATTAATGAGAGAGAATAAACAACAGTTCCCGTATTTGTTGGACTAAGCAAAACAAAACAATCAGATAAGTCAAACTTTCTTCAACTCATGAAAGGATTTTAAGTCTGCCTTATAGTCCAAAAAATATGGTGGGTTAAAGAAGATGTTGCAAATGAACAAAGAGCATAAAGTAGATGTTTGTTTTTTTGGGGGGGTTTTTTTGGCTTTGTTTTGCAGGACAAGATGAGTTAGCTACAAATACATCATTTTCTTTAGCTTAATATATAAAAAATTATTATGAGTTATTTGCAAATGCTAAAGTCAATTAGTTGATTGACTCCAGGTTAATCTGCTGCTGATGTACATCTAAAGATTACTTTCTGAGTCCAGTGGTTCATGAGATTTTTTGCTAACAGACTGACAGTGTTGATTTATACAATTAATGACAAAGTTTTAAGGAAACATCTTGTTGGAGCTCATATGAGTGAGGGATGACTCTCAGCTTCTACCAACCTTCAGTTTAAAATCTGTCAAACTGACTGGGGTTGTAGCCATGTGTGTGTGTGTGTGTGTGTGTGTGTGTGTGTGTGTGTGTGTGCGCGCACATTTGTTTGTGTTGGCGGCCATTTTTGAGTCCATCATTTAATCAGTTGTAGATGTACACCCAATAATTTCTCTCTAAATGTTTCAGTGACATTCAGTGGTTCAAGATTTGTTTTGGGAACACACACACGCACAAAATGCCGGCGTTTCTCAGGGTTCTGTGAGAAGGACATCTTCCTGTCCACACCAGGAACCCGATCCCCGGATGGCTGCGGGGGCGCGCACAGAATTCGGTCAAAGTGGAGAGTCGTCAGCGCACGCGCGCCTGTTTTATCTCGTGCGTAAAAGAAACGTGCACATCTGGCTATGGCAGGGTCGCAGAGTTGCGGGGGAGGGACGTGACCACATGGGGGGGTGGGGGGTGGAGGCTGTTCTCAGGAGGGGATCGTTTCCTCATGCAGCCTCGGAGCGCACTGGACCAATTAAACAGCTGCTCAGCCGTGCACTCATACATGCTCGTGCAGCTTTTTTTATTTTTTTTTAAGTTAACATGGAGCTCTGCAGCGTGACACAGGAGACTGCACCTGAACGTCACAAAGCGAATTGATGCCTCATCGGATTGTTGCAGCCGAGCTCTGGAAATGGATACGACCCGTGTCCTGCTGGGGATCTGCCTTTTCCTGCTGTTTTCAACATCTGCCTCACCGGTGACGGACACGGACTTCTGTCCGGAACGCTGCGACTGTGCGCAACCGCGGCACCTCCTGTGCGCCAACCGCGGGCTGCGCGCCGTGCCCAAACCCGCCGCGCGGGACTCTGGTGGCGCGCGGATCTTCAGCCTCGCGGGGAACTTCATCCCAAACATCTCTGCCTCCGATTTCTCACGGTACAGTAACCTGATCCGGCTGAACTTACAGTTTAATCAAATCTCCAGTATTCACCCAGAAGCCTTTGAGGAACTGTCCCAGCTGAAGGAGCTGTTTCTGGGTCATAATCTGTTAACAGCTGTTGCTGCTGGGACCTTGCAGCCGCTGAAGAAACTCACTGTTCTCTACGGGAATAACAACGCCCTGAAGAAGATCACACCAGAGATCTTCTCCACCTTGGGCCGTCTGGTTAAGTTGCGCCTGGATGACAACTCAATAGAAGATCTGCAAGATTCTGTTTTTAGAAGTTTGACCAGTCTGCAGTATCTCCATCTGGAACACAATAAAGTGCATCATATCCACAGAGACGCCTTTTCTAAGCTGACCAAGCTGCGTTTTCTCAACCTGGCCCACAACAAGCAGACAGCCCTGACCAACGTGCTCACTTTCTCTCAGCTCCGAGCTCTGACAACCTTACTGCTGTTTGAGAATGAGATACAGCACGTCGGAAACAACGTCTTCCAGAACCTTAAAAAGCTATGCAAGCTCTCCCTGAGCAACAACAGGATCTCTCGTTTGGACGGTGGGGCCCTGAAGGGACTGTCGAGCCTCAAGGAGTTTCTGATTGATGGCAACAAGTTGGAGGAAGTCCCCACTGGTCTCCTGGACCCTCTGGTGCGCATTGAGCAGTTGGACTTCAGCCGCAATCGGATTTCCAACGTGAACTCCACCGCCTTCTCAAAACTGAAGTATCTAAAGGTGCTGAAGCTGAGCCACAACTTCCTCAGCAGTCTGTCAGGGCATGCTTTTGCCCTGAACAATGTGCTTTCTGATCTGGATCTTCGTGGCAACAACTGGACCTGTGATTGTCGCCTGGAGGAGCTGAAGAGATGGATGAGTGCGGCTCATTCTCAAGGAAAACTGTTGGCTGTGTTTGTGCAATGTCATTATCCTGTTACTCTGAGGGGGAGGTATCTGGACCATGTGAACAGCTCCCAGCTGCAGCCTCCCGGGAGCTGGAGCCCTTCCTGTACGAGTGGACCCGGGCCTGAGGAGAGCCGGGGTGGACGTGTGCTGATGAAAGTGGAGGGAGAGAAAAGAGGAGCGTTATACGCAAAGTTGGACGAAGAGGCAGAAGTGGATGAGAGAAACAGAACAGAAATGGAAAAAGCAGATGGTTTGAGACGGGGGAACAGGGATGGAATGATGATAAGAAGAGAAGGAGAGAAAAAGAAAAGAGCAAGACAAGAAGTGGAAGGAGACCAAGAGGGGGCAGAACCTTTGTCTTTTCCGAAAGAAACAAACACGGAGCAGCAACGTTCTGCAGAGGCTGCTGCTAAACGCCCCAAAGGAAGACGCAGGTCCAACGTCGTTGTTAAAATGAATCCATCAAGCACTTCCGAGCCAAGTCATGAAGCAAACATGTGGTCCAGCACAAGTTCTCCTGCCCAGTTCAGAGAGACGTTTGATCTTCTGAGAGATCAAGAAGAGACTGTAATCACAGATCCATGTGTGTTCAATCGCCACTTCATCACCAATGTGTCCGTGGATGAAGTGACGTCTACTACTGTCGGTATACACTGGACCATCAGGGCTCATCCCCACTACACATCAGGGCCCAGTACAGGCCTTCAAGAAGTCCACTTCCGGATTCTATTTGACAGATTCGGCACCCCGGATCGTTTCCCCCGCTACGTCTACGCCCCGGGAGCGGCTCACTCCGTAACCCTTCGAGAGCTCACCTCAGGGGTGACCTACATCGTCTGCGTGGAAGGAGTGGTTGGAGGATCCGTGTGCCAAGTGGCACCTCGGGACCACTGCGCGGGACTGGTGACCCTCCCCGAGGAGTTCGGCCGTCGTAGCACCACTCTGACCTCTGACCTCCAGCTGGTGACAGTGGCGACACTGGTGGGGAACGGTGTGCTGCTACTGGTCATCAGTGGGGTGTGGGTGGGACGGATCCTCAGGAGGAGGCTGCAGAGAAGGAAGTCGACTGTCCACGTGCGCCACATGTACTCCACACGGAGGCCGTTTCGTCCCGGCACGGCCACAGCCTCCATGTCCACAGACTTTACCAGCTACCAGAGCAGCCGACCAGCACGACTCGCTCCACTGGAGGAAGGTGATCTCATCGAGTTTCCTTGTGATCGCTTTCTAGACAGCTGTAGCGCTCGCAGGGACAACAGTATGCAGAGATTCTCAGAGTAAAACTCGCTCAAACCTGAAAATGTTAACACTGTGCCACCTTGAAAAAAGCATGTAAATTAGAGTCTGTTATATCTTTGATTGAGCTTTTACCAGACACAGTTTTCTTAATCAATCCACCAGAAACACTTTCTGAACTTTGGCTTGGCAGGAAACAAATCCACAGATTGGTTTCAGAGCAGCTGCTCATTTCAGTCTCCAGAGGAAGTCCAGCTCCTCTGACTTCCCTTTCCTGACTGGAGCCTTTCCTCTTTCATTTCCTCATACATGCAAATGTCTTTAAATACATGACATTTTTTTGTTTGTTTTTGTACACATGTAAATGATGTACCACTGATTTCAACGATGGTGCTAATATTGATTCTGCAGACATAATATTGTCTCATCTGTACAGATTGTAATGATGGCTGCTGGTTGGCAGGAAAAAAAACACATTTTGTACCACGATTTTTCATGTTTTGTACTTTTTTATGGAGCATTGTATGAATATGTATTACACAAGGAAGTAAAAATCCCCAATAATGTGACTAGTTTTTCATATCAGTGTTCAGCTTAGAGCTGCAGTAGTTGTACAAAAACTGCACATATGAGCTGTTTGATAAAGAAAAACAAGAAATGTTGTCAAAAATGAGAGTACTTTGTGCTGTATACACAAAGAATAAATGAAAGACAAAACAGCAGATACAGGTTTTGCAACAAAAAAATATTTCCATTGAAAAAAAAAACAAGTTGATTATTTATCCTGATGCATGCTCAATAATCCAGTTGATTATTATTTAAACTTTGTAGCTGTAAAGCTGAACCCAACATGTGTTTGAGGTTGTTAGAGCCTTTTGTGTCAAACTGAGGTCTGGTAATGGTTAGGAGGTTTCTTTGTTTGAGTCAACTGGGTGGAGCTCCACCCACATTTAGTCTAAATCAAATCCGTGCACAGAAACACAAGCATACATACTCATGCACATGTATGCAGCAAGGCTGGAGGTGTCAGAGGTTAAAGCTGCTTCTGCATACATGTTTTGGTTATTTACACCTTTAAACAAAATTTGTGACTTTTAATTTTACTATGATGTTAATTTAGGCACATCTTTAAAAAAAAGGAAATACCTATTTAAATATAAACATAAAAGTTCATGTTTTCAAATCAAAATCAGGTTTGTGATCAGCGTGCTGTACTAAATTTGGATGCTAGATGGCATCAGAGACCATGAAGTTTGTAACTGTTTTTATTTCCCCACACACAAGTAAACAAGAGTCAAAATAGGCTGCTTTGGGATGACATAAAACCACAAACAGATACTAGAATAAGTCTTTTTATTCAAGCATTTGATTTACAGCGATTGTCCACAACTTTACAGTACAAAACGTGTAAGTGAAGTGTAAATTACCTGACAGAGTTCCAGACACAAAAAGTGTAGTTTTCTCAGTTTAGTGGCTTAATTGTTTTACAAAAAATGTTTTTGATTAAACACTTTGACTAACTTTTATTTACAAGGTTAGGAAATTTCAAGATTTAAAAAATAGCATTTTGTTTTTATGTAATTTTAATATACATACATATATATATATATATATATATG